GCTGAATGGAGACTAGACTGTCAGGTTATTCTAGTACTCTGTGAAGAGATAAGAATGATGTGGGCTTGGGAAACCATGAAGGAGCTGATGAAGAGCAATAAAATCCAGGTCTGTGTTTATAATAAAGCAGTCAGGATTTGTTGACGGATTTGTACACAGATTACATAGAATGAAGTGTAGAGGTAACCCAGGGTTTGGGGATGAGCATCCATATGGAAGGAAGATAGTGCTCTATGCTAGTCTGGAAAAGTATGGGGTGAAAGGTTGCAGTTGGAGATATAAATGTGGGAGTCATCTGCTTAGATAATGATGTGTGAAGCTTTGGTAGTAGATAACATCACCGAGGGAGACGGTGTAGAAAGAGAAGTCCCATTAGTGAATACTGGCCCTCGGTGTTTAAAAGTTGAGGAGGAAGACATAGCAAAGAGGATTTCAGGAGTAGCTAGTGAGAACAAACCAAGAGTATATGGTATCTGGAAAGGGAAATATGATGCTTTAGCAAATAGGGTACTAGAGCTCGCTTGTTACTGGGCTTTCAACTTGAGCCTACATAAACATTAAGAGATGTTAAGAAGTGATTGCTTCATTTTATCCTTTCTGATTCACATTTCTCCAGTTGTGAAAGTATGTTTAAATCCTAAGAGAAGTGGTGTATTATTTTATCATCTCTATTTTCTAAGTTTTTTAATTGAGAGTAGGTAGGTAATTTGGAGAAGGAACTTAAATATATATGAAATAGTCTTTAATGCTGGCTTGAGTTATTGCGTGTCTTTAAATAATCCTTTGCTTTATGTTTTAGTAATGGTAATTCATCTATATAAGTGATAAATTGGATGCAGTTGTCATATTTCTGTATTTTTTTGTTGCTTGAATATACATTTTAAATGGCCAACATGAATTGCCTCTTATTTATGTATTATACAGATAATTAAAACCATAGTAAACTAATAAGACAAATTTTAAGATAGCATAGGTCCTGTAGTTATTCACTGACACCTAAGAATAAATGCATATTTTCCAAAAGTATCTATTTTTAAGTTTCATAGTATCAATGTGAAAGAAGTGCTAAGAGTAGGAGATATCCATTTATTAATAGATACATTAAAACCATCATGAAATTATTATATCATATTTTCACAATAATAAATAATAACTTGGTTACCTAAAATTCAGTTTGCATAAATTTAGACTAGAGAGCTTTATTTGTAAGGGTAGGTTCTTCTGGGACAACAGAAAGCACATAAGTAGTTTAAACAAGATAGTCTCTTTCTCTTAGAAAAACGTAACACCCATAAAAGTGGTGTGATGTTCATGCATCTAGGCACCTGTCTTTGTGTTCTGCTGTCCTTACCACCCAGCTGTAGCTTCATAATGTAGTATTGCTGATTCAGGTTAGCCATCACATCTGCATCCCAGCAGACAGAAAAAAAAGGAAAGGAAAGGGAAGATCTTCCCTTTTAGGGATACTTCCTAGAAACAGCATACACCAGTTTTGTTTTACATCCCATTGGCTAAGTCTTACTCTCATGGGCATGCTTTAACTACAAGGGAGTCTGGAAAATGTAGTTTTTTTAACTCTGGGCATCCCTGAGCCTCGGTAGAATTTGGGGTTCCTATTATTGACATGTACAGCAGTTAGTGTACAACTGGCAGTCTCTGTTCCACAGGGTTTTTAGATAATAGGGAGAAACTGGTTTTATAGCAATGTGATTTTTTTTTTCTGTGTTAAAGGATAAGTTATCATACACTACATAGTCACTCTCTGAATACTTTTAATGGACTTAGAATAACAATTTGCCCTATGACCAACCATACATACCTTTCTCTGTATTATTTTATCAACTGGGAAGTCATTACAAGATCGTGATTAAGAGCATGGAGCCACTCTGCCCAGGGGTCATGTCTTACCAGTGCTGTGTGCCAACCATGTAACCTTGAGCGAATTTTGTAACCTTTTAATGTCGTAGAAGATAATAATACCTAATTCACATGATTGCCGTAAGGGTTAAATAATTGGTTGTAAAGAAGTTAGAAAAGCTCTTAGCACAGAGTAAGCTCTCAAATTTTAGTTATTTCTATAAATTATCATGTTCTTAGTGATAGTAATTTTTAGTACTATCCCAGGTAAAATGAACTGTAAAAGTTACTTGTCTTAAGATGTACTGATATTTTGCTATGGTAGAGGATAAGGGATTGGATAATTGAAAAGTGAATCTGAGTTTGCTTATTTCGTTTTGGAGTATTTGATTAGTTATATTGAGAGATTTTCTTATTTGGAGAACTATATTTTGGAACATATATACAAATATACATCCTGCAAAAAGGTATCTACCTTGTGAATTTTATATATAAGGTATGCCTTTTTAAGTCCATTCAGAGCTAGGAAGTCAAAAGGCTATAAGCAATGAAAATGCCTTCTTACTTGTATCTTGGGATAGGTAAAGCAAACACTCAACCTGTTGGAGGATAAATACATGGCAGTTGAAAGTTGAGTGTCTTTTGAAACGGAGCCAGGCTTAAGGCTTTGCTCAGTTTACTTCTCTAGAAGGTCTTGCCTGAGTCCCTAATTGGTTAAATGCGCCTTTGTTTTTTATATAGCGTACTGTACATGATTCTTTTAACACTTGGCAGATTCTGTTGAAGTTGTTCCTGTCTTTCGTACCACATCATAAGCAGACACATAGTTGTGTCCTCAGCATCCTACACATTGTAGGTATACAAGACTTAATGAACTTGTTAGTGTGGATATAGCAATACAGGCTACCACTTTCATAGGGTTCTTAATTTTCAATCTCAAGTCAAAAATAACAGTACATTTTCATGGCCTTAAATTGCTCTCTAAATTTGGTCATCTGCAGCAAGATGTTTAGAAATAGGCATATTTCCAAAATAAGCTGTGATAGTTGAGACAAAGTAATGTTCTGTGCTGTTGAAGTCCAGTTTAGAAAAAGTCTGCTTTCTCCCTCTCTGTATCTTGTATCTTTTGTACATGCTGCCTCTTTCTCACTGCATACTAAAGTATTACAACAATAAACTTACTTGCATGTTTTTAGAGTATGACGACTTTATTAATTTAACTGAGGTTATGCTGCATGAAATTCAGGAGTAAATAAGAGGTGGTCAGTTGTCTTTTAAAGAACAGTAACATTTGTTTTGTTTCACCACGTCAAGTCTGAATCTGCCACAGTTTAGAGCCCAGATGAAGTGTGTGTGTGTGTGTGTGTGTGTGTGGGTGGGTGTGTGGGTGTGTGTGTGTGTGTGTGTGTCTATTTTAATGTCAGAATTGGATTATCTCCTTCATTGGTAGATGACTGAATTTTTTAGCTTCCTAATTTAAACAAAACCCCAACAGACAGTCTGTATTTTTTATGGAATGTTTGGGTGTAATACAGGGCCTTACAGTTTAGAGTGCTTGCTGAGGTGGTTGAGGTAGATGCAGTGAATCTCTACTCCTTATTAATCATGTCAGATTCATTCGGATATTTATCGGTCACTATTCTGGCAGCATCTCATCCCAGACTGTCAGAGTCTTTAAAGAGCTGTGCTGAAAGCTGCAGATGTGCCATCGCACAGACATTTAATTTTAGTTGTTTTCTCAATAGATTTTAATGGACCTTTCTAAAAGTCCATCAGAGATTCAGGCATTAGAGGAAAGTCTTCTATTTTAATGGGCTAAAAATAATGATCCTCGATGTTGGCATACAGTCAAACAAGCACTATGATGTAGAAATGCTGAATAAGCCCATAGTATGTTCAGACTTGCCTTTTCTACTTTCCACAGCAGTCTGCAATACTGCTATCGTTTCTGCATGTATTAAGTGCAAAACTCTTGAATGAAGAATGGCTCAAAGGAAAGACTAGGCTACTGTGCTCTTAAGCTTTAATATTTTCCTTTTTTTAAAATTTTTTAGATCAGGGGTGCCTGGGTGGCTCAGTGGGTTAAGCCTCTGCCTTCGGCTCAGGTCATGATCCCAGGATCCTGGGATCGAGCCCCGCATCGGGCTCTCTGTTCAGCAGGGAACCTGCTTCCCTTCCTCTCTCTCTGCCTGCCTCTCTGCCTACTTGTGATCTCTGTCTGTCAAATAAATAAATAAAATCTTTAAAAAAAATTTTTTTTAGATCAGTTATAAACTTTGAGCAGGTTAAATTTGCAATTTAATAGTTGTTGAAGGCGTTTTCATCAAACATCCTTATTTAGTATGTTGAATATTAGTGTGTTGTTGGCGTTTTCATCAAACATCCTTATTTATAATAGTATGTTGAAGGCGTTTTCATCAAACATCCTTATTTATTTTTTTTAAGATTTTTATTTATTTATTTGAGAGAGGGACAGTGAGAGAGAGCATGAGACGGGGGAAGATCAGAGGGAGAAGCAGACTCCCCGTGGAGCTGGGAGCCTGATGTGGGACTCGATCCCGAAATCCTGGGATCATGACCTGAGCCGAAGGCAGTTGCTTAATCAACTGAGCCACCCAGGTGCCCGCAAACATCCTTATTTAAATACAACTATATATAAAATCATACTGAATTAGTGACAAGTTGTGATGAGTTTTGGTGCTCATTTTTTTATTTTAATATTTTGGTTTTCTTTTGGTTAGGAATATAAATTCCTTTTCTTCAGATTTTATTTTTGGGCAAAGAAAGCTGTGGAGAGAATTTTAAACAATTTTGAAAATATTAAAAAATGTTTACATCCTTTTTTAAGTTTGGATACCTACATTGTTTTTACATCTCAGAAAAAAAATAGATTTTATTCTCTAGGCATTGCTCCTAAGTCACATTGTGCTCTTATGATGGAACTAAGGTTAGGTGTTTTGTGTTTTGCTTTCATATTTCAAAGATGATTTGGGTTAATATGTTTTGAGTTAAGAAATTCCTTTTTTTTTTTTCATTTAAGAAATATACCGTGGTCAGTAATTTCCTCCCTATCCCTCTTGCCTTTTTTTGCTTTTTCAAATAGCTCCATAATCTTCAAACTTTCCTTTCTTGTCTTTTTAAAGGTCGATTGAGCTATCCACATCCAGGAACTGATAATCTGTTGATGTTAAATGGTAAGTTTTATAAAAACATTTTATTTTTCCAATTTGACTCTTATAAACAAATATGATTGAGTACATGGTTCTCTATACCTTCCCCATACACAGAAGTTAATTATTTTATAAGTATAAAAATAAATTATAACTGCTACAGTTTCTGTGCAGAAAGCAGAATTATGAGTTTGAATGTTTTCTGGCTATCAGAGCAGTCATTGTAGTGTATTTGTGACAGCGTGATTTAATTCATTGATCACAGACTTTAGAGAGAGTCCTGAGTCTGAATACTGGCTTTCTAGTTTATGGTGAGACCTTGTTCAGTAACTTCTGTGACCCTTACTTTGCCTTCTATGAAATGGGAATAACAATCTTAGGGTTTATTATGAGAATTAAATGAGATGATGTTTGCAAACTACATAGAACTTGTTACTTAGTATAGTACTGGTGCTTATGTTAACCAAGGAGTGAATATACTAGGGATTCTTTGCAAATATGGTGCTCACACTGACTTAATTTATTCTAACTAGAAAGTTTACACTATGAACTTCACCAGAGTCAGAAACAGGATAAATAAAGTTTCATTAAATTTTGTTTTCTTTCTGTTGGACAAACACTGTATTCAGAGTCACAGTACTTAGCACATCCATGACTGTGGGAGTAGACATGGAAGATGAAAATATCCTTCACAAAGGTATTTTTAAATAAGAGGGTGGATAAAGAGAGGGAAGTAGGAAGAAGGAAGAGTAGAGATAGTACTTTAAAATACATAATTATATAATTAGAATGGCTTGGCTCTTCTATTCTAACTAAAGCTTTGTTTAGAACAGATGGCAGTGAAGTTAGGGAACAAAGTCTAAAAAAAAAAGGCCAGTGTAAAGCTCGACTGTGTGAACTAATACTAAGTAAAGACTATAGTGACAGGAAAGTGGGAATAAAGTCCAGGCTACCTGGGAGATTGTCAAGGGAGATAGGATTTTGGAATGAGAGAAAAGCTGAAGAAGCAATGTGTCTGGTGGATGTGATTGATTGGTTCATTTAAAATTGGATTGTTACATATTGCATTGCCCACCACATGCCAGCTTAGTCTAAGCACTGGTTTATATGTTAGGATCTTAAAGGATGGTTAGAGGTTGAATTGTCAAGGTTCTCACCCTGGGGCCTGACTGTGCTTTCTAGGCTGAGGCCATGTCTGGGCTAGACCTTTCAACAGTCCAGCAGTCCACATGCATGAATTCAGCGAATTATAGTGCTTACATAGACTTTGACCAGAAAGATTTAACTAGAAATTGCATTCCAGTACTTCTTCAGTCAACTTCTTTCTACCGTGGAATTTAAAAAAAAAAAAATGCCATTTCAGTAGCTGCTCTCTAAATCTGTTATGAAAAGTTTTATAGTGTTGAAATTGAATTTGCAAACTGAAAATGGGTTGTAATTTTTATCTTCATGACATGATTCATAAAGTAAAGATGGGTTTAGGTAACAATAAACTATATGTTTATCCTGACTTCCTTAAATAATTTTCTTTTGGGACAGTCTATGTGATAAAGATCATTCACATTTCTATTGTAACTTTTAAAAGAGGCAATTCAGTGGAAAAAATAGAATATGTATATTTCTCATACTCTGTTAAGATCCATGTGAAGGAAGGTGCTATTGTATGAGACAGTTTGTTAGATCATTCACAGATGTTCTGAGATTTCTTTATGCATAGTACACTAGGGCGATTCAGAAGTGTATTGTAATCACAATAGAAGACATCAGTTGTATGTGAGCAAAGAACTTAGAAGCTGAACTATTTTTACAACTTACACTTTCAGCTACACTAAATAATAATAATAACAGTATTATTATTATTATTATTATTATTATTATTATTATTATTTTAAAGATTTTATTTATTTACCTCTGAGAGAAAGCATGAGCTGTACGGGGAGGGCAGACGGAGAGGGACAAGCAGACCCCCTGCTGAGCAGGAGCACCATCTAGGGCTCATCCCAGGGCCCTGAGATCATGACTTGAGCTAAAACCAAGAGTCAGACACCTAACTGAGGTTCCCCATGGTTACACTAAATATTATTAAATTAATTGATTCTATCACTTGAGAAAAGCCTTCTTAAACAGCCTAGATGTTAGGTTAGAAGTCTTTCATCACATAGTAAACACAAGAATATTTTATTTTAGGCAGGAGTTGAATCCTGTGGACAAATCTGCTTTTTTCATTATGTTAGTGCTCTTCATAGCCTGCCACTCTGGGGCCACATTACATACTCGATACAGTAAGCTGTCCTGGATATTCTGAACTTTTTCTGGCAAGGGACTAGGGGAGAGAAAAGATAATGAAACTAGGACATCAAAATATGTTTAGGTCAGTAAGGACAGTTTGATCCAAGAGAAAAAAAAAGTATTTTGCTCATTTGGGATCATTGTTAAGGGGGAAGCAGGAATGAGGACATTGGGTATATTTATAGGGTAAGGAGGTATTTGAATATTACGGATTTAAGTAATTTTTTGATAGACATCTAAGTTATTGAAGAGAGAAATAGGCAAATGACAATAAATAGTAAGGGGAAATTTTGCTTGAGCTGCTTTTAATTCTTATAATTTAACTATATTCATAGCATATTATCTCCCTAGGAAATATGGGAATTAAGTGATATCGATACCAAGCCCTCACCCTGTACTAAGTTATTATTAAATATTATTGATGACAGATATTATAGCATCGCATTACATAGACTTTTTAAATTATTATTTTTTAATATGTTCACAGGTTGAAACTCACTATTAGCAAATGATTAAGTTGTATTACTTAACCAACAAGCATAGCAAATATTATTGACCTTGAAAATCAATATTTGGTAATAAATTATAGATCAGTATTTTTTTTATGGTGGTTTAGTAATAGTTAACAGTAGTTGGCCCCGTGATCTGATGAGCACTGGGTATTATATACAACTAATGAATCATTAAACACCATCAAAAACTAAAGATGTACTATATGTTGGGTAACTCAGAAGTAGATAAAAATGCTTCCTGCATCAGGGGGATTGTTTTTAGATGTGAAGAAATTCATTCATGTAAAGTGTTTAGAACAGCTGTGGCAGTGCGTAATGATGAAAGGTGACAAAATGACTTTGAAAGAATACATTCATGTCCCCTGAATAGATGAAAGTGCTGGAGAATATAAAATTAAAAGATGTAGCCAATATTTTCAAATGAAGGAAGTTATATATAGTGACCAAAGAAGGTTTGTTTTATGTTATTCCAGGAAGCCAAACCAGAACCACTTGGAAGGAGCTATAATAGGAACAAAATTTGTGTCAAAAGCAAAATGACTCTCTTGGGCAGTGTTTCCTAAAGTACGGTGCACATGTCCCTTGTGGTACCCAAGATGACTTTAGTGGCACACAAATACATATTTAAAATAAATGCATGACTATTGCAATTTAAGATCATTCCTTAGAAAACACAGAACTGGCAGAAATCTGTGACGTTACTAAGCTATTACTAGATGCTAGGCTTCAGTCCATTTAATAAAGAATAATACATAAATAGTATAGTTGTTATGCAGATAAGGCAAATGTAAAGCTTCATGATTCTATCTTCCTGGTCAATTGACATTACAGTTAAACTTTGAAATATTTCTTTAAGAAATAAACAGGTAATGGGGTAAAGGTGATGAAGTAGGTCAGACCAGGTAAAACTTTTGAGCCTCTGTTAACTTAGAGAAAAAGAGGTATAATCCCACATCTGTATGTCTCATGAAGTTGTATAGAAAAAAAAAATTAACAGTAAAAAATGCTATAGAAATATAACTGCAGGTAGGCTCCTGAACACATCATGTTCCTCAGTTTAACTAGAAATCAAGTTGAATTGACTGGTGGAGACCACCACTCTTGAATAATATTGTAGAAGAGTCCAAATTTAACACCCAGAAGCATTTTAGGGAAGTCACATTGTATAGGAATTAGTAGACTGTCTAAAAGACAAAAGTTAAATACTATCTGAAGTTAGAATGATAGCCTGAGTGTTTATATTTGTAAGTGTATAAATCTCATGTATTTTATTATCAATAAGAAAGAACAAAATAAAAAAACCACCCTGTTTTTCATAGTGGTGAGGAACAATTAAAAATGATGTTTCATTCGAGTATTTCTTTCTATTTGCATCATGTTGTGTTTCCTCTCACCCCTTTCCCAAGGAAAAATAGCTTATATGTTTATTAGAACATACAGTTTTTCAAAAGAAGAACAGCAGAAGTATGGGGTGATGCAAGTTAGTTTGAAATTTAAATTTGCTGTGATTAACCACATACAGCCATGTTTGTAATCAAGAGCTTGCTTGCTTTTTGGGAGGAAAGAAGTTTTGTTTATCTTTTAACTAAGAAAATTTACTCAGAAATGAAATTGTGTTTCTGAGGGCAGATATTCTAAATGTACTGTATTAAGTCATAAACATAATAGGAAACTTGAGTACGTAATCAGTTCTTTTTTATGCTGATAGAAGTAAGTGGACTAGATAACAGATTTATTTTGGATCTTGAAAAGGACTATGATTTGGGGTGTATTTCTCTCCCTGGTTTTGGCCTCATAGGGCAAGAAATAAGAATTTCTTCAGTTTCACACCAAGAGAACTTTAACCTAAATATTTCCAGCTAATTTAGTATGTTTACCCATCTCTTCCTCCATCTGCAGTAATTCATGTACCACAGCTGTAGCTAAGAGGCAATATATAAGGACACAAAGATGCCAAAAAGGATGTCAGAATCCTCCTATTTCTTTTTTATGGGTTAGAACCTAAATAAGATTATTGATAACCCAGGACCAAATTAATTATAAAGTCACTTGTATGGAAAAGATCTTTTTTCATAGCCTTCTTATTATCTCCATGAAGAAAAATACATATAATCTAACATGCATATATATGTATATACACACACATATATATTTACATATGTTTCTTTAATAGCCAATTCCTTTTGAATGACTTGTACTTTTATAAAATGCTTTATAAAACTTAGGTACCTGAAATTTAATATTCTAAATACAGTTTTTACACAAAAAAATTGCTCATTTTTTTTTTCTTAGTCGTATTCTAAATTGAGTTTGGAGGGGCATATTGTTTAAAGAAGTCTTCTTTGGGGTGCCTGGGTGGCTCAGAGGGTTAAGCCTCTACCTTTAGCTCCGGTCATGATCTCAGGGTCCTGGGATAGAGTCCCGCATTGCGCTTTCTGCTCAGTGGGAAGCCTGCTTCCCCTTCTCTCTCTACATGCCTCTCTGCCTACTTGTGATCTCTCTCTCTCTCTCTGTCAAATAAATAAATAAAATCTTAAAAAAAAAAAAAGTCTTCTTTAATTAAAACATAAGTTAATGATTTTCTTTTCTTACTGGGGGCCTTTCTTAATGCTGAATCAGAGTTACAGAGGAACATACTCCAGAAATTTCCATAAGAACACTGGCAGGAAAGTGAGTATACATGCCATTGTTTAGGGTAATGGTAGCAGATTGGTTATTTCCATGACAGGGGATGAGAAATGTTTCGCATGGTTTAGCTTCATCTTCAGTCAGTCTATTTTTGGTAATGTAGAGATTTGGAATTTGAGAGTTGTCCAAAAAATAAGTAGAATAGCTCTTTACAGGATTCTAAAATTCCTCAGGTATGAGATAGTCGGAGAAGTTTTCTAAATAATGTGTTTCAAGCATAGGAATGAGATGAAACCTAAGATGTTATGAACATTTGTACATTTTTTACTATTTTAGTATTGAAAAGCCTCAGCAAAGAATATAACAGTTAAGAGTATAAACTGGTTATGAGGTATTTAATTTTTTCAATATGTCAAGAATTATTTGCCACATTATGACTTCATTACAATTCATAATTTGACTTTAAACTTGATGGGAATAGTTTTATTTGCTTTATAAATGATCCACCTTTTATACCCATGAATGAAATCCCATTAAGCAAATTTTTACTGGATTAATATCATTTACATCATGCCTAGAGATAAGTAGAAAGCCCGATTCCTCAGACTGGTGCTGTGACTGTTTGGGGCCTATTGACCATTTCCACACCTAATGCAACTGTCAAGACTTGAGAGTGAATTGATTCTTCCGTGGTCTGGTCTTGTTACCTCTTTTAAAATTCCTATTAGATTTTCCACAGTCAGTCTCACATCTCTTTGAGACCCTGATATTTTTAAGGCTTTTTTAAGTCTTAGAAGACTTCCACAGCAAAAATGTTACTTCTACCCCTACCCTTACCCTAAACTAATATATAGGTTAGATAAGCTATAAATAATATAAACAAGTAATATATTACTTGTATGATACATAAATAAGCTGTATTTACACACAAACACACTGGTAAGCTTACATATAAACTAATGTATAGGTCAGTCCACCTTCTAGGCTGTGAATTAATTGGAGCTCCCAAAAAGGTTATATATACAGTAATTCTAGCTAAATAAAAACAAGAGAGAGAGAGAGAGATGCAAATGAAGTTTTTTTTTTTTTTAAACAAAAGACGGATGTAAGCCTTGTATTTGACTTATTTCTTGAAGTGTAAATGACTAAGGATTGACAAGTTTGTTTTTCCCACTATTACTATAGGGGAATTAATGCTATATTCTCACCTGTGGACATACTTCTTTGTGTTAAAGGCTTATATTTTGTATAAGTTCTATAATAGAATGTATTTAATGTGAAATGTTTTCTCTTGATCTTTACTTTATACTTTGGAGGAAACTATATTTCTCATGACTTTCAATATATATTTTGATTTGAGATTTATTCAGAAAGAAAGTTTCCCAAGCCTAAAAAATTCATGAAACTTGGGCTAAGACCTTAATTTTAATAGTCATTTTTTATTTTGGTTTACTGCTTTGATAATCCCGATTCCAGGGTAAAAATAGTCATTGTATACTCAGATTTTGGGGGGAAGGAGTTATTTAAAAATATGTTGTGGATTTTATCAAACTGGTAGTTTCTTATGGAGAATAAATTGCAGTATTTTTTCTCTAAGGAATTATGTAAATTGCTAATAATGTAGATTGAAATGCCTTTCTGCTTTATATTTTTACAGTGTTTAACAAATGTGCTATTCTGTGATGATGATAATAATAATAATTTGTGGCTGAATCCCTCTTACCTCAGGGATAGAGATATAAACACTTAGCGATTATAAAATGTACCAAAAGGATTGAGAGCATTGTTAGCTATAGTGTATCATTAGTCATTTCTTCAACTAAGCAAGTTTGAACATGGATTGATTTCTTTACATTCTATCTAAGCTCTGTAGGCTTCACAGTATCAGTTTAACATTGTTATAGCTTCTCATTCTTCTCTGTCTTCCAATACTTTTTTCACACAGGTTTGGTATAATGTGAATTGGGTTTGAATAGCTATTTGTTGGACTGTATCTGCTATATCATTCTTTATAATTAGGAAAATAAGGATTTAATTCTGGTTGTTTCCATTCATTATTTGGGATGCCATTTAACTAAAGGTGTTACATATTACTGTCCTGATCAAATGAAAGAAATATTCATGAATTTGAGCATGAAAATAAATGATTTATTTCCTGTTTATTTTTTGTACAGTTATTTTTATACTGTTATGTATATATATATATATATATATATATATATATATACACATATATATATATGCTTTGTAAATCATAAAACACCATACAGATATTATACAGTGACATTGTCCTAGCTCTTAAAGTCACACCGATTACGAGATGCCCACTTAGCTTTTCAGATCACAAATATTTGTATGGGTGGGCTTGTTTTTAGTTCTGACATTTTACAATTTGTCCTTTGTTTACATGCAGCAAGGAGTTATGGGCGAAGACGAGGTAATTCATTTCTGTTTGCTATGGTATAACTGTTTTTAATTGGGTTTTACTGATCAACACTATAATTAGCTTAGATTTTTTATGCACTGTCTGAAAACTCACAGAAAAGTTACATTTTGATTTGCGCACTTGTAAGTTTTGAATCCTAAATCTCTTAACCTTTAAAAGCACATTTTCATACTAATACGGTTATTTAATAAATATCTTCCTTTTAAACTGCCCAGATTTTAACTGTTTAAAGTAATTTATATACCTTTTAAAATCTACTATTTATAGTTTGCCTAAGAAATATCTTTAATAAATAGGTGACAATGCAATATGATTTTTCCGCTCTCTAAATCTATAACTGGTTGTCTTTGGTATATAATTTATAACTCTAGTTTATTAGTTTTATGACTGACCCAGTTAAAAGTGCATACCAAACAGGCTGTTGTTAACACTGTTGTATAGAAATCATGTTGCTAATATTTCTCTATGTCTTCTAAGAATATAATGCTTTCCTTCTCCCTCTCACTACACCATGTAGGTAGATTCACACACTCATTCACACACACACACACACTCTCTCTCTCTCCTGCACCATTCTTCCGCTCTGGGTTCTTGCTATCTTGACGACAAAACGATGACTGTGAGAGAATAGACTACTAAACCTCTTCGGACAGCAGCTGACATGTTCTGTGTTTTAAACTTGGCTTTTCTTTCTCATGTGCAGATTGGGAGGGAGCAAAGTAGATGGGATGAGAAGAAGCAAAAGTAATTTTATACCACTAGATTATCCTCTAACTTTGTAATAATCATGATAATTTAAATAGCTGTTGTAAGTACCAAAGTGAATAAAAAAGGATTTTCCTTGACCCCTAAAATCTCCCTTAAGCCATGGAGGATAGACAGTAGTAATAGTGCCTTTTGATAAATTTTATAAATATGTGCCAGGGCGGGGCGCCTGGGTGGCTCAGTGGGTTAAGCCGCTGCCTTCGGCTCAGGTCATGATCCCAGGTCCTGGGTTCGAGCCCCACATCGGGCTTTCTGCTCAGCAGGGAGCCTGCTTCCTCCTCTCTCTCTGCCTGCCTCTCTGCCTACTTGTGATTTCTCTCTGTCAAATAAATAAATAAAATCTTTAAAAAAAAAAAAAAAAAAGAAATATGTGCCAGGGCTTCAGTTTCTTTTCACGTAGTCATGAGTATGTGCACTTTGGAAAGCAAGCTAAAACTTTCTGCTACCACTGATGACAGAAATAAATATTATATGTTCTTTCTTTTAATATAAATATTTTACTTATTTATATGACACAGAGACAGTGAGAAAGGAAACAGAAGCAGGGGGAGTGGGAGAGGAAGAAGCAGGCTCCCTGCTGAGCATGGAACTGTTCTGCGGGCTGGATCCCAAGACTCTGGGATCATGACCAGAGCCAAAGGCATATGCTTAAGGACTGAGCCACCTAGGCGCCCGTATTATATATTTTAAGTACTATGTCCAGTTTTGTATTTCACATTGTCTGAATTTAACTTCATTTTTGGAATCTGGTTTCTTCAAATGCTTGACTGAATCTCTTGGTTCTTTAGTTTTCTAACTAAAATATTACAGGATATAGAAACTCAAAACTCAGAAAACTAAATCTAAGTTACCTTCTAAAGGTTGTTAGCAACTGAGAAGAGGAGGAAAGTTTAGAATTTTAATACCTATTTTCATATCTACGACTGTCTTATTTCACTGTGCTATTTTAATACGGAGCTTCAATTCTTTTGGAAAAAAACCTACTTATCAAGCTGTGATTTTTAGGTATTTTTGAAACTCTAGAGCAATTTAATTAAGGATCTTTTCCTTCTATACACTTATCATCTTTTAACCTTAGTAATTTATGTTTAATCTAATTTGGCATACTCTAGCATAAATATTATGATCTAGGAAGTTCTTAAGAGCACGGTATCAGAAGTCATGTTGTTTATCTTCTTTTATCTCAATTCAGTAATTACAGACTATGATTATGATACTAAGAAAAAGCAAAGTTTTCTGCTATCAGATAAGAACTTACTACTATTCTTTATGGCTCGCAGAGGATAGAAATATAAAGATTTCCTCTACTTCAGATCTCCTTGCCAGCTTTGGAAAAAAGAAGACTCACATGGTTTAAGGCTTCTGGAGAAGCTTTCTTTAGGATAGAACTGATAGTCATCACACTTACTTGACTTAAGAAGGGGTAATGCCTGAATTTTCCTTTCAGATTATATGGCATTAGTAATTTTTTAGTTGGTCCTCTGTGAATAGTCAGAATCTGCTTTTAAAATTTCAATTTTGATGGCCAGATGAAAAGTATACCCATTTAGAAATACCTATTGAGAGGTTTTAATTTGAATTTTAAAGTACTTTGACACAGTAATAAAACATTGGAAAGAAGAAAGAAAAAGAGAAAAGAAAAGAAAGAATCCCACACACATACCAAAGGAATAACTCATAAAGGATTAGAAGTAGCCTGACTCTCTTCCTATTTTCTACTCATTTTTTTCCCCTTTCTAAGCTAGATACAATATCATTATCACACTGATAACCTTTTAACTACCAAGATCCCCCCTGTATAGGCTTCGTGTTTAACATTTGGTCCATCAAAGGAACTGCATTAATTAGTTTTACTTAATCATTTTTCTTTTCTTAAAAAAAAAAAAAAGTCAGATACATATCAGATCTACTGCTCATGTGAGTTGTGTCACAATGAGTTAATATAATTCTTACCAAAAATAAGACATTGCTCTTTACCAGTGCAGTGGTGGGTGAACAGCATTTATTCACAAGGCATTTACTTTGTAGAGCAGTTTAGGAAGAACTGTTTGTTCTTACTTGCCACCTTTGACTCACCTTTAAACCCAGGCATAGAGGAGCTGTTTTCATTTAAAAGATTTCCCAGTTGATTGCAGTCAAGCCAAATTACTACCAAAATGACTTTGTATATTTTAATTTTCATAATGTCAAGAACAACTTTAAATCAACCTGGCTCTAGATATTAATATATAAAATATACTTTAGGAATAGTCAAAATTGAATTATATTGGAAGTAATTAAGAAAGAGCAAATATTTCTTTCTCTGTTTTTCATTTGGGACCTGCCCCCAAGTCTTATGTATCTCTGTACCCTGGGAGCCATAAAAAGTTCTACTCCAGAGCTGCCTGGGGACCAGGATTAGGAAGAAGGAAGACTCATATGGGGAGTTGACTTTAATATACGGAAAACTGTCTTCTGTATTTCTTGTCCAACAGTTCTTCCGTTCTATTCTAAGAGTAAATACACTGATCTGGGGTTGGATTAAGGTGGGAGTGTGAAGGGAGGTATGAAATGTAATTTAAATTCTATCTCTACACTTCAAATATTTTTACATTGCAATCTATCCCTGTAGTAAAGGATTCAAGGGCTACTATGCTCTCAAAGGAATAAAAATATATAGGATATTTTAAGTAATAGAAATAGAGCCTATTTTAGTTGATAATCAGGGCTAAACATCACAATCCAATCTGTTCTAGCAGGTAATCCCAAAGCTTGAGTTAATAGATTGTATGGGGAATGAAATAGGAGAAATGATTTTAAAAGGGAATGAAATTATGGAAGTTCAATTAGAGAGTTGGGGTGTATTTATACTGTGTAGCCATTCAGATTTATGAACTGTAATAAACAAGAAATTATTAATAATACATTACACCAGGGCGCCTGGGTGGCTCAGTGGGTTAAGCCGCTGCCTTCGGCTCAGGTCATGATCTCAGGGTCCTGGGATCGAGTCCCGCGTCGGGCTCTCTGCTCAGCAGGGAGCCTGCTTCCCTCTCTCTCTCTCTCTCTCTCTCTGCCTGCCTCTCTGTCTACTTGTGATCTCTCTCTGTCAAATAAATAAATAAAATCTTTAAAAAAAAATAATACATTACACCATGTATTGCTTTAAAATTGACCCAGGATTTTCTGATTTCCTTAGATTTGATTCAAATTTGTTTGACTCTAAGTCTTGTGAAGTAGTCAGAATAAGGGTATGACCCCTAAATATCACCACTATCAAATCCTTTTATGATGAAATCAAGGCTGAAATTCTTTATCTTTGATAAATACTTTGGATAACTGTCAGAGAATGGGTAAAATCTCCAAAGCATGGGAAAAAAAAAAAAAAGCCAGAGTAATACTGTAAGACAGAGGTTATCAAACTGGCCTACAGGCTAACTTCTAAACTATAAACAATGTTTTATTAGAACACAGAGATGCCCATTCACTTTTTGTCTGGTTGCTTTGGAGCTACAATGATGGCAGAGTTTAGTAGTTTCAGCAGTGTGGCCTACAAAGTCTAAAATATTTACTGTCTGTCCCTTTACAGGAAAAATTTGCTTACCTCTCCTCCCTGAAGGGGCCAACTACCTGCTCTACACCTATACCCAGCCATATCAGTATCTTTAAAAAAAAAAAAAATTTTTCAGTGAACTTGTCAAATATATCTAGAAAGTAATTTACAGAGACATACTAGGCTATAATTGATTATTAAAATTAAATGTCTTATCCATCCTGTCTGCCTATTATTGGGGCAAAATATTTTTAGGTGGTAAGAGTACCTTATAGCTTCTTCCTCAGTTCTTTGGGAAAAGCGTGCCTTCTCAGTGATTCTGATTAAACAGGTGGTGCTTAAGAGAGTTCAGTGTTGGATCTGGCTCTATTGTTTTAATAGGTTTTCTTTGATTCTTTCATACTAAATAAAAATCATGCCATCACATTGGTAGATTTTTCTACCCCAGTAGAGTGACTGCTAGGATCTTAGAAGATGGGAAGAATATTCATATTCGTCCTTAATTTATATAGTTTTTTTTATTTTTAGAATAACAGTTTGTAAATGAAAGTACAGGATAACATATTGAGATCAAAGTCCTATGCTTAGATTCAAATTGTAAATTGCCTAACTTTGTATAAATGTTTTCCTTTCTAGCCTCCTCCTTTGGATGTGTGAGAAATTTTTTTAGTCTGAGCTTCCAAAATAAGGTCAAAAT